CCTCTCCCCCCCTCCCCTGTATGACAGTCGCATTATGATCCGCCAGATTTGTCACTCCTCCACCCCGTACCCCGTTCGCCCCACCCGACAATCCCGTACGAACCTGCAGGTCGCGATGATCAGCGTCGATCCTTTGCGACGGCGACGGCCTCGAGTTCGCCGACGGTTACAGCGGCCGTGACACCTGAGGCCTTCACCGTTGTCTCGTTGCCGACACGGGCAGCGGCTGGTGGATTCGGCGAGGCTGGTACGTCCGGGCTCGGCGATGGCCTCGGACGGCTCACCTCCACAGGGCTCGGCGAGGCGGAGGGTTGAAGTCGCATGGACGACACCAGAGAAATGTCCTCCAAGAGTCGCGGAGCCGACGGGGTGGACGCGACCACGGGCGTCATTCGTAGGGCAGGCCGCGGACCCGGCGGCGGTGGCGGCGGCGGCGGCGGCTGCTGCAGCGAGGGCCGAGGAGAGGGCAGCTCACCGCCGCGCGCCGTTGTCACCTCGGACGAGTGCGTCGGCACGGCGACGATGGGGGTCGAGACTAGCGGGACCTCCCTCACACTCGGAGAGGAGGCGGGGGCCTCTTCTGGCGCCCCATCCAGTATTGGACGCCGGCGGTGCAGCGTGACCGGGGCGCGTGACTCGGGCGCCAAGGGTGGCGACTCCGACGGCGCCCCGGCGATGGCGGCGATCCTGTCGAGCAGCACCGAGTCGGCCCTCACCTGGCTGAGGCTGGGCGGGCGCGGGGGCGGCGGGGGCGCGTGCATCCAGACGGGCGGCAGGTCCTGGTAGGGCCGCTGGTGGGTGCTGGCGGGCGGGCCCAGGGCCGGGGCCAAGGGCCGGTACGCCCCTATGGGGAACGCCTCGGGGGTGCCGGGCGGCCGGTACGGAGAGTGCGCGTCGTGCGGGCCCAGCTGCCAGTAGTCCCCGGCACCGCGCGGGGGACTGTGGTGGCCCTGGAGGGCGAGCGCCTGGTGCGAGTTGGGGTCCGCCCTGAGGTGGTGTTCGGCCACCTTGGGCTCCCATAGGAACAGGTAGTACATGGACAGCATGAAGGCGGACCCCGACACGGCCGACACGTACGCCATGACGGTGAGGAGGCGGATGATCTTCTTCTTGGAGTCGCTCTTTCCTCCTTCCCCCTCGGCCAGGTTGGCCGTCGAGCCGTCCGCCTCCGTGTCCCCTGAGTCGCTCATGGTTGCACTGGGGCACGCTCAGGGACCAGTCCAGCCGGCGTGGCTTGCCCTCACCGTAACCGCCCCGCTCCTATCACTGGACGGGTTCGCACACGGTCTCCTGCAAAAAGGAAACGTCACGAAATCAGTCGAAATGGTCTACACACTAAAATGACGGCCGATGATATCAGACCGCGCGCCCCGCCGCCCCGCCTGCCTCGGGGGAGGCGTTTGGGGCAGGTGAGTAGAGGGGCGGGGAGGGTGCATGAGGCATGAGGCGGCGGGAAGCCAGTCTCAAATTGAATTAGCGGCGCCCAGCGGGAGGCCACCAGAGGCCTGTGTTTGTGCTCTGTGACGAGGGGACGTAGCGCGGGTGTGGCCCGTGGCCCGTGGTGCGGCCAGTGCACTCACTCGCGAGGACTGTGCTGTCGCCCTCATTACCAACCCACTGACTGGGAGCTGGGAGATGTCGTTCGGCATCTTCTTGTTTCAATACTCACTCGAACAAGGAATGTACCTCGAAGTGATGCGAGAGGAGAACGTTAGGCGTAGGCAGAGGCACCCTACCACGTCCTCAATGCCCGTGCCCAGGGTGGAGCGAGCGACCAGGGCGGGCCGCCGGCTCCACGCAGCTGCTTGGCGGGATGGTCTATCCAGTGCCTCGCGGGCGCCATCAATGGCGTCGTCGGCTCTAGGCCTGGCTAAACTATCCGCACTTGCTCCGGCATGGCTCACATTCCTCCGTGGCCGATCAAAAGACTAGAACACTTTCGGATGTGGCGCCCAACACATCCTCGCACCGTTTCGGTTATCATGCATTCGTTGCACCACTTTCAAATGGTCGCCATTGTTTTTAAGACTTGATAATGGACGTCGCCGTGGGCAAGGACAAGGACGTGCGGGGTGGACGTGGACGGTGCCCGGGGGGTGGCCCGGCCCCGCCACCCGAGCGCGCTCACCTGCTCGGCGATCGTCAGCCATCACCCGTTCTCGACCAGGACTAAGGTCGGTCGATGTCTTGGCGTGGAGGAGCTTCAAACGGACGGTACATCGTGCTGACCTCGGTCCACATGCGGCGCGCGCGGCTTCGCTCTCGGGGTGCGACGCGAGAAGACTGACTGAAGGGAGGACGTGGCGGCCGGCGGCGGCTCTAGCGGCGCTCTCCCCCACTGCCCGCCCCGCCCCGTCAGCCCCGTCCACTGGCCGCCCCTGGGCCGCCCCTGCACAACCGCCTGACGGGCTATAGGCCTCGAGAGAAGACTCTCTCGGCCAGACTCGGACTGAGGATTCCCTCCCCTCCACACCTTATCACGGCCGCGATGCTCCAACCAGAACCGCCCTTAGGCCCCCCAGGCCCCGGGAGGGAGGGGCGAGGCAGCTCCCCCGGACCCCTCCCCTGGCCCTGGCGCATCACTCACAGGTTGTCAGCACCTCTCGATGGCGCACCCGACGCAAGCCATATTTCATGATTTATTTATGGGTCCAACGGAACGCGTCTGGTCTGCTCATCACAGAGGTGCGCCGGGGGTGGTCCATCTTATGGCCCCTGACTCCCCGACTCTGGAAGTTGCGCAACGCGACAGCAGAGCCGGGGTCAGAGCCAGGCGCAGCCAGGCCCACGCTCCTCACTCAGGAGCCATAAAGCAGCACATTGGCAGTTAAAATGTCTGCATCCCCCTTGCTCTGGCTACAACTGTGAAGTGGCTTGCAGGCCATCAAAGGGAGTAGTTTGGACCCAGTTTGGACCACTCATGTGCGAGGCGGTGCGAGGCCTGTGAGCTTCTTGCTAGACGGTGGCTTGTTTTTTTAAAAAATAAATTTTAAAGAAAATGTGCAACATCCTGAATGCGTTATCCTGAAGTAATGCACTGACATGGGAAAAAATAAGTAAAGTGGATCAGTTCAATTGAAGTAATTTATTAGAACATGAAATTTAAGAGCGGCTGTTGCTAAATAGTTCTTTGGCTGCATAACATTACGAGTTACTTCTTAACATTCACTAGAGGCAGCATTAACAATAAAGACCATAAGAACATTGTGGTGAATGTCCATAATGTACTGGAATATGTAATGAAAACTAGACAAATCTACAACATAGCATAATCATCTCATTGATTGATTCTTTTCGACAATTTGGGCGAACCTCTGAGTAACAAACATAGTTACATCCAAAAATCTTTCGACACAGTTTTGCATACAGGTCTGTGTTTTTGAGTCAAGCTTCGATCCAGGGGTACCCATACATTTATCCCAACAGACATCGGTGAATTCCACAACCTGTAAAAACAAATAGAACAATGTCGGTAACATAAAAACAGTCATATCATCCTTGGCATCCACAAGATTTTAAACCGTCTAATGACTGCAACTGAAATCCAAAGCTGTCATTTAGGTCGATAGAATATGAATGGAAACAAACCAAAAAGGAACCAGCTTACCTGAGCTTGCAGTTCTGATAATGCTGTAAGTTGTTGTAGCTCCTCTTGAAGTTTCTCCTTGTTTGAATCATCTCCAAGCTTAGAGTCACTGCTAGATCCATATAAGTCACTCATAGTGATTTAATATTTGAATACAAATCCTTCGAAAAGATGTCTTATAAGACTTTCCTATACTTTCAGATCAGCCAAGCACGTCGCTAAACAGATACAGAAAAACATAACCTCAACTGACGGAAACGATTATATACAGTCGGAATTAGTATGAGAAATAAACATAGCACAACGAACATGACAAAATAACAAGAACGTTAACCATATGTTTTCATGTTTTCATGTCCTTTTTGGTTAAGGTGTTAACGCTCACACTTGCTTGTTTGGAAGTTCTGGCCTTGTTTTTTAAATGTACTTTTCTTATTAGTATCTTCTATATTCTACAACATCCTCTTCTTAGTCCAAATTATCTAGGTAAATTGAACAGATTGTCATTCTAATGTTTCCATTCAGTACTAAATGCTGAATGGTACAATTTTTTAAAATATTATTATTATGTATTAATGTCATTTTAACTCCACATTATTTGTCAACCTATTTCCAGGTTAAACATGGCAAATGTTGTTCAGTATATTGTTGTCAGAGGAGACCTTCTGAGCCATTTAGGATGGCCTGTTGGGGCTTTGATCGCTCAAGCTTGTCATGCTTGTACTGCTGTAACCCACCTATTTCATGATGATGAACATATGAAAGTATATCTCTCAGATTTGGATAATATGAGGAAGGTTGTGTTGGAAGTAAGTTACAAAACTTTTAATCCTATCAAGTTGTTTTTGTGCTTCTCTGATGTCTTATAAATGGTATCCTGCAAGGCAGATGGTGAAAGCTCACTTCGTGAGTTGTCTACAAAACTTGAAGAAGGTGGTGTCCTGCATAAGCTTTGGATTGAGCAGCCTGAGAATATTCCTACTTGTATTGCTGTTAAACCGCATCCTAAGGAAGAAATCCAAAAGTATTTTAAGAAATTTAAATTATTCAAAGCAATCCCACCAGCACCCAAATAGAGATAAAACCTGTGTTATTTTCAGAAAGGAATCAAATAAAAAACAAACTTTGAAAAAAAAAACCTACAGAAATTTATTGATACATTATCAAATCTAGAAATAATACACACATCCTTTACTATTGATTACATTTCAATAAATGTGTTACATTATCTGGACTGAGCTTGTATCAATTAAATCTAAACAATATTTTACAAGTAAAGTACATAGATACTATGTCACTTAAGCTTACAATAGAAGCAAAGGTCACATAGTGCATATCTGAGATAGATCTCTTACCTACAAGTAGTGGACATTTTGTCATTACGCACTAGAGGCACCCACTACAGCTGATATCCGTAGGAAAAACAGTACAGAAGAAATGGACAACATTGTACATATTTGCTTTCATTCTTATTGTAATGTCACTGAGTAATTAAAAACATAGAAAGTCTTTCAAACAGAAATAAAAGAAAAAAGGACAAACATTAATGGTTAGGGGAGGTAATTTATTAAGCATGAGTAGGAGAGAAGCCTTGCTTGAATAGGAAAGGACAATTCTAGACTGAAAGCCAATTAAAATTGAAAACAAAAAATGGAGACATACCACTGCTGAACATAACAGCTCAAATCCATAGAAACTAAAAGAGTAAACACAGCAATGCGTAAGAAAGGCTGTGGTTTTGGTCCTTCTATTACATTTGAACAAGAAAAGTATAATAAGGCTTTTAGACGTGCGTATCACAGATCCATGCACTAGCATGGCCAAACCAAACATGAAAAATGCACAGAATTTTATACCTACATACCTGAAATTATTATTCAACTGCAACAATTTACATATAATTAAACAGCTGGTCCACAAACAGCTTGATTATTCAACATGATAGAAGACAGCTCTTGTATATCCCTTGAACAAAATTAAAAGTACAATTGCGCAGAAGTTATAGAGGTAGATTATTTTATGCATGGTGAACAATAGTATTTATCAAATTAATAATGCAATAGAAAATAAAAAGACCATATACATAGAGATCAATAGAGATAAATTAGCCCAATTTTCCCTGATTCTCAGCTGGTCAACATGTGCACAGTTGCTTTCAGAATGTGAAACGAAAGTCATTTCTTCACAATTTTACACGTAGGCATTTCACAATGACCCAAGGCCAACACCAGCAACTTTCAGCTTCTTGCGACGAGGATTGCGAGGTACCTCGGTGTCAGAAATATCAGACTCAGAGTCCTGATATTCTCTTGAGTCACCCTTATATAAACCTTCACTTGACTCAGCTGCAAAGTTTCCAGTTGCCTTTGCTTTTTCTAATGTACGGACTGAAAATATTGATACAAAATTTAATTAAGTCACTGAAATTTGATAATTGAGTGATAAGAAAAAATAAATTACTTACTTTGAGACTCAAGAAGAGAATTTTGCCTCTTCAGATCCTCAATATCTTGCTGATGTGCATTGTTCTTTCTTCGCATATATTGAATATAGTCAGATGCTTTCTTCAGTATCTGAGCACGGCTGGCCTGAATATATAAATATTAAGTTAGAGAGCAAATAAAAGTGGTCAGAGAGTTACAACTCAATGTAAATTGCAGGGAAAACTTACAACTTTCTCATTTAGAAGTGCAGGAACTGAGTCTCTCAAACTGCTGAAACTGTCTTTTATATGATCACGGCGTTTGCGTTCTAGCGCATTGTGATGGGCTCTTTTCTCAGCCTCCTGAAAAACACCATTTGTTAGACATTTAAACTAACTAGAGAAATCATTAAAAAAACAAAAGAATTTAAGGCGATTTGATTGACTTCATAGAGCTAACAACACAGCAATCACTGTTAGTGAGTACGATACAATGGTTATACTACACATGCATCTGAGGTTATGAAAGTCAACTACCCAATTGAATGGACCATAATTGAAAACTCGCATACTAACCATGGTTTCACCGATGTCAACTCCACTAGGACGACAAGAGACTTAACTTGCGATGAAAGGAACTATCAATCACCCTTTAAACACAACACAAAGCAACCTTCAAGAGGTTAAATCAAACTGGTGGGGGAGTCCAGCCCTTGTATTGCGGGCCTCAGAATATGACCACTACAAATAATACTCGAAACCGTGATGTGACGAAAAGAAGTACGAAATACCCAGAAAGAAATACAGGACAACAATTCTTCAAAAAACACAACACAAATTTACGAGTTACACTACTACACAGTGGTGGTACACGACACTGCCTTTCACAACAATAACTTCTGGCTGGCTGAAGCTAAAGGTGGCACCCGGTGCGAGGCTACAAGGGTTTGGGTATGAGAAATAACAGTGCCGAAACTAATCCCGCCTTTGGTGCCCTCGTTCAAAACGAGGTTCGTTTTTTTTTTTTTTACTTTGAGCTAAGGGCTCAAGATCTAGACGTCAAATGAAATAAAAAGTAATGTGTCAATGGAAAAAAATGTGGTAGTGATGATATATCCCCACAATACATCTTCCCCAAGGCGACGCTAACGATAGCGCCTGCAACGCTCTGAGTAGGCCAACCCGCCAAGGCGCTGTGTGTAACGGTAGTCTACCCGGGGCACGTTGGGGGGCGACTGACGGCCAGTAAAAGGTGGTCCATTTCCTATATTCTGGCACAGCGGCAACTGTGTAACTCATGAGCTGGGTGTGTTCCGGTGCATTATAAGGGTTGACCTCCCGACCTGCGTGGGGCTCTTTCCTTTCTCCAAGTCAATGCTGACGCCCAGGCTCGGCTCGGAGAGGTGGCCACTCTAACTTTCGGGTACCGTCCTTTCGACCACGGTGTTTCGGAGGCTAACAAAGACGGCTGAGCAAAGCCTTGCCGCTCTACCAGAATGGACCATAGCGTTGCGTCATTTCGGGAGACGACGACTGTGAGTAAAAGAGAAAATGGTTTGCGAATCGGTCGATATTATTTATTCGAGTGCTAGCTAGTTGATACTGCTCTCAGCTGGCGAACACAATATTTTGCTGTACTTTAAAGGCGCGAAGTGGAGGGGTAGCTGGCTTTGGAGGCGATGGATGCCTGGGGTACGTCAAATCGCACCCAACCCACCCACCCACCCACCCAACAGCGCTCCCGACACTCACTAATTTGGCTGAAAGTGCACATTGCAAGGCAGATAAATAGCGCATTTGATCATCTTCAGACCTCAAACAAAAGTATTTCCCATTGAAACGTTACAACTACGCGAAAGAAAGGACCTGCGTTTCCCACCGTCCGCCATTGGCACGACTGGTTTCGGTTCCAAATTTTCCATACACAACATATCTTACGTTAAATAAGTGTTTTAATGCTCGAATATAACAAATGAGATAGAAAATGTGTTTCCCGATCCCAAATTAGTTTCCCACTAGTAAATTAGCAGGTCCCCACACACGGTCAGTTGGGTGGGTGGGTGGGCGGGCGGGTGCGATTTGACGTACCCCTGGAGTCCTTGTCCTTGTTGCGCGCCATCCTGATGTAGCCCGCCTCGCCCCTGTTGGTACCCCACGAGTTCTTCACGATCCAGTCCTGCAAAAGCAATGCTTTGCAGAACTGCGAAGTATTTAGATCCTTTGTGACTACGAAGCGGGAGCAAACATTTGAGACCCGTGTGGCGGGAACGGGGTCAGTCAGTCGCAGCCATAGCCTCAGGGGCGTGAAAGTTAAGCACGCGTGAGGAGATGACCTCTCACATGAGCAATGTGTGGTGCCATATATACTAAACAAAACGACTTCAAATTGAAAACCTTTTTTCAAGATTGCACTCTTCTTACTCCCTCCCCTCTAAAAATCTAAGGGTTTGTCAATTTTCACTTCATTTTGCCTCTCATTTTGACGCTCATCTCGCGTGGAACGCTCACGCGTGCTTAACTGCCTAGGTCGGAGAAAAATAGGTCGGACCATCAAAAATCGGTATGAATGTAATTCTATACATTCAGAGCAGAGAACTATGCGGTTCTTTTTGATATCGTAAAATTGCGTCCTGTTGTGTGATTAAAGGAGTAAAGTAAGTAAAAAGTTCCAATTTTTCTTTAACATATATATTTATATATTTGAGAAATTTGGGGCAAGATATGAATGCTTTAATATACAAATTACACTAATACATCTGTCTTAAATATCGAACATATAACGGTACCAGCCCTTTCTTTTACGAACTTTGCTCTTGCTTTCTCATTTCAAACAATTATGAAGGCACTCAGCGGTATCCATGTACTTCTTTTCTTTTCCTTCTGCACTTTTCAATCTAAGAAATGAATTACCAATCTTAGTATTTCTATCTAAAGGCATCACAAAATTATTAGCATAATACTTATGTTTTTGTAAAAAAATACAAATGATTTACAGCCAGGGCTCTTACAGCTAAGAACATCAAATTGAAGAAAGAAGGATGTGTAACAATATAAGTACTTCTGGTAGCAGAAGTGTATTTTCTTTATACATTCATATAGTTGGGTCAAGGAAATGTATGATAAATTTCTACAAACAGTGACTAAAAATCAATCTTTGCCCAGCAGTGCCTTTTAAATAGTGAGCTGTGCAAGTCAAAGCAAATGATAACCTTGCTATACTAAATTTGGTACAGACGACTAGGAGAATAGTGTTGTCAGATAACACAGGAAGTCCATGCACTCTTTGACAGGCGCAGAAAAGTTCAATTTATAAGGTAATATCTTAAATCCTAGTAGACTTAAAATATGAGCATCTCAAATAATGTACACTCAACACAACATCAAATTTTCCTAATATGTTGGCAGATGCTATCAAACATCAATATTTTGATCGAATTTGTTTGCTGCTGTGAAGAAAGGTATTGCGATTGTGTATAACTACAGCTTTCCCGATACGGCAAAAATTTACCCCTTTCTAGAGAAATTCATTTTTCTTTTTATCAGCACTGTAATATGTGAAAAGTTTATTTAATAAGTTACAAATCGATATGGCAAGAGCGATCGTTCGCATTTATTCGTTACTGTGGTCCTTTTTGAAAGGTAGGCTTCCAAAAAACAAGTTATTAGGACTCAATGTTGTGTTGGAAAATTTCAGTTCAATCGGTCTGCCTACAAAACGCACCGACAAAATGGAAAGACGCACCGCGAGGGCGATGCAAATCATGGATGGTGGCCCTCTCGCGGTTTGTGAGAAAGAAGAATGGGCGTCAGGCTTTACTTTAGTCGCGGAGAGAGGCGAACCTCGTCCGGAAGCGCCTGGCCTTGGGGGCGCTGACCACCCTGTTGACGCGGAGCTGCGGCGGCGAGCCCGCCAGGCAGCTGACGTCCACCTTGCCGCCGTCCTGGAGGGCGGCCATCAGGGCGCACACGGACGCGCTCGCCACGTTGGCCACCTGCAGCGAGAGGCTGGCGCCGGGGAAGCGGTCTCGGATGTGGCGGCCCAGCGCCGTGGCCTGTCCGGGAGACAGCGTGACGCCGGACAGGCCGAGGCGGCCCAGGCAGCAGAGGTTGGCGCTCGCCGTTTGGAGGAACAGGTGCTCCAGCGGGACCCTGCATTCAGTTGTGCACGGAAACATGAGTCAGTGGAGCTAACAAAAATTACCTCATTTGAGGAGAGCGAATCGAAATCCGCTGTCATAAGTTTGCGTGATTTTGTTGGAGCAAAGAGTTAGGTGCCAGAACGAAATGGTCACTGACTCCAGAAGCCAATCCTTTTTTTTAGCCCGCCCTTCTGCTTTTAAAAGGGCATTAAAACGGGCTCATACTCTCAGTTCAGACTCTTGTCCAGACTCTCATAGTTTCGCCTGCAGCGACAATTTCATTGAGGCGACTGGCTCCGGTCCTACCTGTTGGCGTCGCAGGCGACCAGGCCGTCGGCGCGCAGACACACGAGCGGGCAGCTGCGCATGGACTTGGCGACGGCGCGCAGGGTGCGCTCGGGGTCGTCCAGTCGGAGCCGCCAGTGGGCAATGTGCAGCGTCTGGAGCGAGCGCAGGCTCTCGGCCAGCCCCGCCCAGAACGACGCCAGCGCCTGAGAGTGTAACGGTTGTCAGGAACGTCACGCCAGGCTTGTCTTCCACACGCTCCAGCCGTGAGGGATCATCCAGAAAGTAAGGCCGTTTTTCACAGATTCATTCGGTAAACTATACGGAAGCCTGGCGCCTGCGATACTCGGGGTAGGCCATCCCGCAGTACACGCATGTACTGCAGGCGAGATGTTGCCTACCTAGACGCTATGCGAGCGCGTATAGGCAGGGCATGCAAACTTAACATGATTATTATATTTTTCATGTTTATATCTCTCAAGCGGTCAGAGTTGAGTTAGAAAAGTTATAAATAAAATAAAATAGCTTCAGTTTTAAAATCAATTTCAAATTTAACTGTTGAGAAGATATGGACGCTACCAATTCCAAAAAGTGCTAAGTTTGCATGCCTGCGTGTAGGCCGAAATGTCTACAGTTTTGTGACGGACATACTTTGCAGATAAACCCTCAGGCAGAAAGGCGCCTTCAAGTAGGCAAGTCCGCCCACACCTGCATCTTCTCTGATGAGAGTGCCATTTGGCAGCACTTGGGTGGTCGAGTGCCTCTCACCTTATCGTCGATGACGAGCGGCCCCGGCTGGCCGGGCCCCGGGGTGCCGGGGCCGGCGGCGTCCTCGCGCTCCGCGCTCAGGTCCAGCTCGCGCAGAGAGCCCAGGCCGCGCAGGAAGGGCAGCAGCTGCGGGCCGCGCAGCGCCACGCGGTCGCGCACCCAGACCTGCAGGCCGGCCAGGCGCAGGAACAGCAGCTCGGTGCAGGCGAGGCTGGCGGGCAGGTCGGGCGCGCTGGCCGCCAGCGCCGACAGCAGCATGCCCTGCAGCTCAGCGTCGCTGCGCCCGACCCCGAGGCCGGTGCCCGCGCAGTGCAACCGGCACCCGGACAGCGACAGGTCGCGGATGCCCGTCCGGCTGAGCAGCGTCAGCAGGCCTCGCAGCGTCGCCTCCTCCTGTCCAACACAAGGGCACGTTAGCGTGATGCGAATAGCTTTCAGAAGAATTCGGACGGAATTCGATGGGACCTCTATAAATGTCGTGTGAGGGAAACATGGACCGCGCTGTTACGTGTATCGGGGTCCTACTGCAGTCTCGTGATTACCGGGACACGAGACGGCCACGCGTGTCGGCGTCCACGAGTGCTGCCGACGCCGACATGCTGTAAACGAGGGTTGGAGGAAGGAGCAGGGCGATGGGGG